GAGGATCCCTGAACAGCATTGATTGCTCCACATTGGGTGGAGGATTGACTGTCAGCTTGCCAGGAGACTCTCTTCCCTCTCAGACCCACATTCGCCGATCTGCCAGATGTAACTGTTATGCCTAGAAAGAGATTTTCCCGTGTTGCTGGATGCCTATGCAGTCCCCCCCCCCCTTCCCACCCTTGCTTGCTGTGCTCTCCTTGGTGTGACATATTCCCCCGTCTTTGTGATCTGTTGAACCCTAAACCCTAAGCCCTACCCCTCCATTAGGTAGCATAAGTGACCACCCTTCCTCCCATAATCCTCTACAAATGATGTCCTATTTCTTCGATTACCGACATTTTTTGTCCCTTTCCGCTATCCCCTCATTGTGAGCCCCTTCCCCTTCCGAACGAGTTTCTATCTCCCTCGAGAATCTTTGCTCTTGGATCCCTTCCCTGATGGTCCACTAAACCCTAAACCCTAAGCCTTGATGGTAGCCCTTCGTGTTACTTTTCTTTCTCAAGATTGTATGATGCAGATGCCCTGAGAAATTTGTGCGTAATTGAACAGGTATAGTGCGAGGTACTCAGGTACAGCCTTACAAGTACTTCGTTGGGTACACGTCTAATTAACGGTATCTGGATCGCTCGTTGATCTTGTGTGGGGAATCTTTAATTTTCAAGCTTTGTCGAGCCGGCCAACTGATTACCAGCCAATCTTGGAGATTAGATGATGTGTGTCTTTTTTTTTTTTTTTTAGAAAAGAAAACAACGTTAAAAAGTTGTTGTGTTGTAGTGGTATTTTACTTGCTTTGTGAAATTCCCACTTAGTTTACACTTGCCAAGTCATTTCACCGACTAAAACTAGAGTTGAGCTGAGCAGGGTTTTCTTTCCAATCTTTCCACACTGCCGGACCGGGTTCGTAGTGATTTCGCGCAAGCCCGTTCCCTTGGCTGCGGTTTCGCAGGATGGTAGTAGAGAGTCTAGAGACAGTGGCAATCTCGTTAATCCATCGATGCGCGTCACCAATTAGATGACGAGCAATTGAGCCACCTTAAGAGACTCATAAATCATACTGAGCGATTTGGCCTCCAAAAGGTATTGATGTGGTAGATCCTTGATTCCTTGGGGAATCCCCTTTCAAAATACTCTTATTCTACTTTCATCTGGAGCTGCTGATTTTTATGACTTATAAGCTGTCTTGCTGTAAAATAGTAGAGCAAAAAAGTTCATACATACAAGAAGAATGTCCAATCTTTTCTCCATTAATAATAACAAACTCTTTTGTTTGTCTAAATAAGTATACGTTTTTTTTGCTACTTTTTGAACAGGCAGATTACCACAGAAAATAGATTGACTTTTTAATCGCTTGTAATTTTTGTGAGCGTTTATATGCAAACTAGCTAGGGCGTTTATGCAAACTAGCTGATATATCTATCTATGACTTGTTTGTGTTTATGAGTCGATGCGATCTGCGGTCCAGGTGTACTGGAGCCTGATGCTGGCATGACTCAACGGGCACAGAGCTCCGTAGTGTAAAAGGATGGAAAACTTGTCGATAACTGTTGCCGTGGAGAACGAAGGCACGTAGCGTAAAAGGATCGGAACTTGAACTTCTCGGTAATTGTCGCAGTGGAGAACGGAGGCGTGATCGTGCCTAACATCAGAGTGAGATTTGTGCTCACAGTGTTGATACATACGTGTCGGATTTCA